GGGGTGTTAATCTGCCAGCTCATCTTGTAATAATTAAAGGTACTGAATATTTTGATGGAAAATCTAAAGGATATGTTTTAAAACTTCTTCCCATTCTTCTTCTGTTATTTCCTGCTCTAGACCTCTATAGTCCTCTGTATTGATCCCCTCGATCGGTCTGTATATTTCCTTCTAATTTTCATTTAATTCTTCAGAATTTACTTTCCTTTTCCTAAACTGCTTCTCAAAATGTGTCTTTACTTCTTCTAGTACTTCTTCTTCCTCCGTGAGGAGCTCTTTCTTCCCATTCTCTTCCTTGAGTATTCGATCTATCTTGATGCTTTGGTATGATCTTTTGAGTAGGCTATTAGTTGCAACTAATCGATTAGTCGATTAATCGATTAATCGATTAGTTGGTGTCTAAAAAGTTCAATCGATTAGCTGTTGACTAACCAACTAATCGATTTTTTCAACTTTCGATTTGTAACACTACCAGGATGGTGCATCAACTTTCTATATGTGACTATATATTATTTAAATAAATTTTTTAAAATTTTAATTTAATGAAATTTAATCATGAGTTTTTTTATTCTTAATGTAGCTGTGACTGTATAAGGTGTATTCTATATTAGCCACACCCTCTTTTTGTATCCCAATAGGTGATTACGGAGAGGTTTAACTATAAAAAAAATCGGGTAAAAATACATTTATTGTACATCATAAACTTCGAAATTATCCTAATACTCTAAATTCTATGGAGTGTTGTTGATCTATTCCTAAATAACCATCACTAATTAAAAAAACTGTATAAGAGTATTTACCCTCCCGCTTTGGTGTGACTAATTTCAACTTCGTTTGAATTTTTTTCATGAATGTACCAAATGTTCCACTACGCATATTTATTCTTTTCAAATTAATTATAGTGTCTGAGTTGGGATCTCCTAACAAAATCCACCACGATTCATATTGAGGTTTCGGGAATCGAGGTGAATATATCCTTCCATCATAGTCTGATCTCAATTTAAACCTTTCCATAGACACTAAAAGTGTATATTCAGTTTCAGGTGTTAATGATTTGTTATCTGCATCTATACGGCAATTAAGTTCTACCGATGGAATATCCAATACTATTTTACATATCTGTAATAATGAAAAATAAATAAATAAATATTTGACAATCGATCAATAAAGATTAAACACAAACCTTTTGAACTTCAGACTCTGAAAGATTAACGCTTTTGAATAGATTTATTAGATCATCTTTAGAGAGATCAGTCAATTCACCGATACATGTGATAGCTCGGCCCTAAACGAAATTTACAATGAAGGTTGATTCGCTTAAAAAAACAAATTAACAATATATATGCTTACCTTATGCGCCAATGAGCCAATCATTGGACTTACAATTCCGGGCAATGTCAATAATGACGATTCATCTGGCCAGCGAGCTTGTTTAATACATTGCAGTAAAGTCATTATATTTAAGCATGTCGTTAATGTCTTGCGTTCAACAGAAATGTCAATCATTGCCTAAAGTAAGAAAAAAGAATCAATTAAAATAATGTTATTAGATAAGTTATCTTTCCAAAAAAATATTCATTAACCTGTGCAATACGAATTGCTTGATCCAATACAGACAGAGTATCCGTAACATAATCAGTGATAGGTAATTTGATTCTAGCAAAATGTGCTTGCAGTAACAAAAAGGCTTTTGCATGAGGACTGTCATAAGGTTGATCAAATTGTACGGGCCATGGAAGATCCTTTTCCAAATCTTGATTCTGAAAATCCTCATTATGACGTACTGGAAGTTCAGAATATTCTTCAGAGTCACAAAGAATACCCAAGAGGTCTCGGACAGATACATCGTTTTTGATGCGATTGCGAAAGAGACGTATCGTTTTATGTGAGAGATAGTAATCAGACGCGATTTTTCCAAAAGCAGTTGTCGATATGTTGTAATCTTCGTCATATTCTATGCATCCAGAAATATTAAGCTCGTTTATTGACTTTTCAAACAATTTAGACAGAAAATTATCTATTGCCTTTTCAGAATTTTCCTCTAAACCATAATAAGCAGGGTTCTGTCGCAATCTTCGATAAAAATACGTGCAAATAAGGTATCGCATCGCATCTTCTTTTGATTTGATGCTCTTTGGCACTATCTCTGCATTTAAATGGTTTTCAAGTTGCACATGTAAACTAGATTCAACTGGAAATGGTTCGTACAAAAATTTCTGATAAAATGTCTTTTTGGAATCTTGAACAAAAATGCATGCCACACCACTATTATCGAACTGCGGACGGCCTGATTAAAAATAAAAAAAATAAAATAGTCAATATATTGATAGCAAGAATAGATAAATCAATCTTACTAAGAGTTTATACCTGCTCTTCCCATCATTTGAAGTACATCCGTTATAGGAAAGTCAACATATCCTTTAGATTTTCCATCAAAATATTCAGTACCTTTAATTATTACAAGATGAGCTGGCAGATTAACACCCC